GCTATTTTTGTTGACACTGGCAAGCTCGGATGTAACGGCGGCTTAGCTGATTGGCTTCTGTGAGAATGCGGAGCCAACAACGGGAGGTAATATAATTATCGGACCAAGCCCTGAATGCATCCAGGGTATAGTGGAGAATGATCGTAACGTATATCCTGGAGATTATCGAGGATGGGTCGTACCATGGATCATGGATCTAGATTTGCTGATTCAGGGCTTTTTCTGGACAGATGCGTGATTTTACATATATATACTCTCACAACAAAGAAACGCATATAGGAACTTCAACTGTATTTTTATGTTTATTTTGAAACATCTTGTAGGCTTTATGAGTGAATGAAATGTAGCGAAAATGCAAACTGGGAATGCAGACTTATCCGTCTTTGGCACCAACTCGAGGAAAGTCAGTTTGAGTGTCACATGGAGACGTGTGGTGGCGCTGAAGTTAATACCTCGTGTGACCACCATGGGCATCCAGAACTGCACGGCATCGCCTCGGCATCGAACGAATAAGTCTCAGAATCTCGTGTTGCCCATTCGCAGCCCACTCTGCCTGTAGTGCCTGTGCGAGTTGCTGAAGTGTCTGGGGCTGAGGGCTACGGCGTCGCAGCCGTCTGTCCAGGGCATCCCACAGATGTTCGATCCTGTTTCCTGTTGAAACAACTCCCTCTGGCGATCAATGATTGGAAGGAGGTGTGGGCGTAGGATTTCGTCACAGTACCGTTGAGCTGTCTGGTTGCCCTGGATCATCACCAAATAACTTCTCCTACGGCAGGTGATCGCTCCCCACATCATAACACTTCCCCGGCCGAATCTGTCCACTAGGGAACGCAAGCATCGGCGAAACGTTCCCGTCGACGTCTGTACACCTGCATTCTTCCATCGCGTCGTTCCAATAGAAATCGTGATTCATCACTGAACCAGATTCTAGGTTCCAGGCCTGAACGTTGGTGCACCATTGAACTCGATGTCGACGATGTTGTTGTCGAAGCACAGGGCCAAAATAAGGTCTTCTGGCACGTAAACCAGCCTCTCTCAACCTGTTCCTGACGGTCTGTGCAGAAAGCCTCCTTTTAATCCGGGTATTTGTCGAGCGGTACTGGTCGCCGTAGCTGTTCGATGACGCAGGTGATGTACTCGGATGTAGCGATCCTGCGCCGCAGTGGTCGCTCGAGATTGCCCACTACGAGGGGCATCTGCTACCGAATTCTGCCGGCGATATCTCTCCCAGAGCCGTGAAACGGTGCTTTGGTGAACATTCATGCGTCGGGCAACTGCACGTTGAGACTGACCAGCTTCAAGCAAACCAAAGGCGATATGACGGTTGGCTTCACTTAGACGTGGCATTTTGCGTTCGTCAACAATATTCAAAATACAGTGAATAATCGGCAGACAGCGATCAACCTTTTATATCCATCATTGAGACTATCTGATCCCCAACTTTCACGTGCATTGCATGTGAATTGTGTATTCTGTGACACTACACGCCGAAATTGAAAATCATGCTGTTAAATACGGGTATTTTACGGATGGTGCGTTTTGTTGTGATGTTTCAAAACATAAAGACCATAAGACTCATAAACAGAGCAAAACCCTTTGTAAAATGAATCACGTTTTAATTCATTGCTACATGAAATTGCTATATTCATGGTGCGTTTCTTTTTTGGGAGAGTATATTATATTGATGTTGTACTATGCGAATCGGATATGGGATGACCTTCTCCTGACTTTCATAAAATAATGTTTGCAATTATGTTTGGCCGTCAGCATAAATTATTCATGTAACAATCATACAGTTAATTAATAAAAATATTCTAGATTCATGACAGAGATCGATCTTCGATATGGTAAGTATAATCAGGCTACGTGTGTACGTGACCAGGATAATAAAAACACACGATCGAATCGCTTAATGATCGATCTGTTTATATTAACTTAAAATGGAAATCACATACAACATAACCATACGTTCATACTTCATGCAACTCGGATTTTGATGTTTAAATGATACTTTAATTTGGAGACCATGTTCATATTTCCCTTAAATAATTCACATTTTTCCCAATTTAACATTTTTTTCGGAAATGATCGTAAGCAATGAACATTAACATTTAATTTCCATTTTGTACAATAAAAATTTAAAGAGTGAGGGTGTCTTTCGAGTCCAAAACTGTATCGACAAAAACGTCACATGTAGTGAGTGAGTCAGTAAAAAGCTTTACGAACAAATTTCATTTGTCACGCCTCAAAGAAAATGACAGGTGGAGATCTATATAGCTCAGCTTTGAAGAGTCAGGTAACTCGCAGCGTGACGCTGCTCGTCGATCCAGCGTACATAGAAACACCATTTGACATTCATGGCGACGTTTTCAGCAAAACAATAAAGTTATAGACCGTCCCGTTAGTGGCCGCCCACCTGTAACGACCCCACGTTAAGATCGATGACGCCAGACAACACGTTGCTTGAGTTGCACAACAGTATCGTAATCAGAACAATGTTATTTTGTTACACAGGTTCGGAAGATCCCCTGCAAAAACAATACCAATATACTATTTCTTTCCAAAACGTCATCTCTGATTGTTAACAGCTTCAACGCCAAAACGCGGCAATTTTAACTATTTCCCTTGTTTTTGAACCGTTTGAAGAAATATTCGCCAAAACGTCACCCAGACAACATGCAATGCAAAATGCACGTGCAAGTAAGCGGAAAAGCAAATGGTATCGATCACTATAAAAGGGCAAAAGTTGTGTTTAATTTTGTCATTCGTTTTTGCCTGGAAAAGAGGAAAGAATCATGCGACGACCGAGAGCCCTCAATCGAAACATCGTCATAGGCCGCCTTGAAGCTGGGGAGTCACAGTCTGGTTGCCCGACATTTCAACGTTCATCAGAGCACCATAGCTCACCTTTGAATCGTTTCCTGCAAACCAATTCCGCCCAGGATCACCCGAGAAACGGCCGTCCAAGACTTACCACCCAAGCCCGAGGGTCGCTACATCCGGGTGGCTCACTTGCGTTATCGTCTTGCCACAGTGCACAACGCATCCCTGGTTTGAGAACAGTTTTCGACGGAACTGTCAGGAATCGATTGCGTGAAGTGGGGATTCCACCCAGAAGACCAGTAGTCTCGCCCCTGTTTTGAGAGACTTCCATCAGCGCAATCGCTTGGTGGTGTCGTAAAGTCCGGGACGACACCTTAGAAACTGGAGGCGAGTCTGCTTCAGTGATAAATCACGATTTCTTCTTCAGCGGAGACATGGAAGACAGCGTGTTTACCGTCGGAGAAATGAACGTTTGGACCCTAATTGCACTCGACAGGTCGACAGATCCGCTACCTTGCCAATTCTAACGTCAATGTCTTGCCACGGCCTTCCCAGATCTCCTGATAGAACACCTATGGGATGAACTCGATCGACGTGTACGTCAACGTCAAAACACGCCTCAGACACTTCCACAACTGGCCATCGCATCGCAGGATGAGTGAGGGAGGAATTCCGCGAGATCGACTTCGTCGACTTATCCAGTCTATGCCGTGACGGTGCTGAACAGTAATTGCTGCTAATGGTGGCCATACAAAGTACTGACATTCACATAATCTTGTGAACTCAAGTAAACAGAAACACAACAATAAAGCTGATGTTGTGTTGTCGAACCCTTTATCTATAGACGTGTGAAATTTCACCTTTTTACCATAGAGATTACTTGAAATAATTGCTCTTAAACCAACACAATAAATTCTTCTAAAATGGCTTATGCTTTTCTTTTTTTGAAGAGTGTATGAAGATATAAATTCTGTTAAAAGTGCACTGAACCATGCTCACTTACTCACTCTCATATACAATTTAAAGTTCAAGTTGGTCTTATCTGCTTTCAAATGGTTAGCAATGTATGTCAGTTGGGTACATCCTAGTGAACTCAGTTTGTCAGTAGAGCCATAGCACGATCCCTAAACAGCGATACTCGACATACTGTTTTACTGTCCTTTGTTGACAGATTATAGTCAAACAATTACAGAAAACATAGACTCATCACGACATGGCTGCAATATCGCCGATGCGATGTCAAATTATAACTGACTAACTCTTGCGGTTACAGCTTTCCAAATGCCTTTTATTTACACACGTGACACTGCGATGCCCATCGGCTTAACTGGTAGTATTGTTAAACCAGTTGGAAACGTCATCACAGTACCATAAAGACATGAATAGGTTAGAGGTGTGAGGTCCATCAATATTCATAACGGAACGCTGGTACTTTATCCATCAATAAATAAGAGAGTAAATCAATTATATATCTGATACAGATCAGTCGAGTATAGTGGTCACATCGACTGGAGTCGAGATAAATCAATTCCTTGCACTATCGGTACTTTAGGGCATCAATCGACCTGTGTCTATGACTTTAGTTTTAAATCTGAACCTCGACCACAGTGAAGGCTTAACGTTTTCATGGCCATTCCTACTGTCTGAGTATGGTTTGACGTCACTTCTAGCAATATTCCAGCAATATCACGGCGGGGGCACCAGAAAAGGGCTTCACACATTGTACGCATGGGAGGAATCGAACCCGGGCCTTCGGCGTGACGAGCGAACGCTATAACCACTAGACTTCCCCACCGCCCCTAATGGTGTTTCCTAAGCCTCCTCTGGATGGCATGTAATGGAATTTGGTGTGTGTAGATAGTACTTGGTCTGAATTGTATGTCCATTGTTTGCGATATGTAAGGGTTTGACCTTGTTTTGACCATGCTCCTGAATTCTCATAATAGTATTTGACAATATGGGTGTCTTTTCTGAACTCAAGGGCTTTGGGGTGGCTTGGTGCTTTAAGCGTTCGTTCATCACGCCGAAGACCCAGGCTCCGGGGTCAATGTGTGAAGCCAATTTCTGGTGCCCCCGCCTTGAAATGGCGGGAATATTGCTAAAACCGGAGTAAAACCCAACTCACTCACTCTCTGAATTCAACTGAGGGCACTGAGCATCCGCCTTCAGGCGTTTAGCAAGCCATTTGTTTCGTGTAAGCCTGATAGGTTGCAAAGCTTCTTAATTAGATAGTATTGAGTGCTTGCCAAACCTTTTAAGCAACAATCATGTGTAAGCCCGGGTGTTGTTTTCTATAATGGTAGCTACGCCCCTGGCCTTAGATTTGCTTACCAGCAACCTATACCAGCTTAAAGAGACAACTAGCATAATCGGGTATTCAGAATCGCTGATTTTACATCTGGAAATCGTCAAAGCGATTGAACATGTCCTTGTCTTGAACCCCATGACATACAATGTACCATGCATTTTAAAATCCAAATGGTATAAACACCTGGCACATGTGAATAACAAGGGAGCACGTATATTTCACGTGCATCACACCCGTACAAATACAGAGCATGTTGTTCATGACATGCCCCGGAACCATGCATTCGACTTTTAGCCGTGGTTTCTTATGGACATCGAAATGGAAGTTTGAGAACGTAGATATGTATTCAAATTAGGAAACATACTCGTACGTGCCGGTGCCTGAAAAATACCGTGCGGCACTGTGAGTCTTATTTACAGACCGTCAGTAACTAGAATGTCCTTCTCATCATTGGTCTTCAGAACAACTGTCTCTCTATTTATCCATCGATGCATGACGGTACCCTCTGTTGACTGTGACTCTCTGCAATCTGTATCATTAATATGAAGTGGTCTTGTATCGATCACTCACTTCGCCGACCATAATAACAAACAAAGAATCGTTGGTGGACACACGCCACTCAACTTTCCATGTAACTTCAACCAAGCAAAACGACCAAAGGAAATTGTACTCGAGAAAACTTTCTGTTATATGTTTTGCTACTTGGCCGGCACAACTTCAGGGAATGTTTCTTCATCATCACGAAATGTAAGATTAATTCCTTCAATATATTGCACAATAGTCTACTAGATTTATGATTGATTTGCAAATCGATCTGCTTTTATATGCATCGAGCGATTCATCAACAGTTTTTCATTTCCTTATTTTTAAAATTTGGTATTGATTATAAATGATAAAATGAAAGAATCTAGGTCCTTTGTACATTGGAAACCCATTCAAAATTTCATTGACGACATTCCCGCATGGGTAACCATAGGGAAGCACCATAGGAAGCCTAAACATCAGTGTACAGAGACCGTCGCAAAGTAAAGGACAGGCGTTTGACAAAGCTCAGCGAGAGGCAGAAAGGTTTTAGAATTCCCAAGACCAACATCAGCAGCATGAAGACTATCATCTTGATGCTGGTGTTTTCAAGTGTGTCATCAGACTGGCTGTCACAGATAGGTGGAGAACGGGACAAGCTGTTACCTGGTTATGTGTATCAGGTATTTCAGACGGGTACAGTGAGACAGTGTTATCGACTCTGTGGGTATTCGGCCAGGTGCGCCTCCGCCAACTGGATCTCGACTACTGCTGAGTGTCAACTGAGTACCAATGCTGTGGGTATATTGCAAGTTTCGGCGAACAACGTGTATCTTCCTGTTCATCAGTTTGCTACACAGGTTGGTAGTTTCCATGTGAATTATTGCATGTGTTTGGGGGGCAGCCTTATAATACAGACCCGTACAGCTTGGGGTCGGGGGTAGGGTAAAACCAAATTAAGAAAAAAATGAGTCAGTCAGTTAAAGCTTATATATGTGAATCCGTATGTTTAGATTTGACATACTGTTCATTTTTGTATTTCGACCTGCCATTTGTGACGATTCGAAAGATTCATGCAACTGCAATTATTCGACATAGCTACAGAATTTATGATAATTATGCTCACAGAGGCATGCACTGACGCTCTCTCTCTCTCTCTCTCTCTCTCTCTCTCTCTCTCTCTCTCTCTCTCTCTCTCTCTCTCTCTCTCTCTCTCTCTCTCTCTCTCTCTCTCTCTCTCTCTCTCTCTCTCTCTCTCTCTCTCTCTCTCTCTCTCGGGATCGGGATCGGGATCGGGATCGGGTAGTCAGGCTCGCTGATTTGGTTGACAAACGTATCCCAATTGAGAGTTAATGACAATGAGAGATTTTGTTTGTTTCGTAAATTGGATGACAAAAATGTTATTGAAGATGAATTTCATGTACTCCTTAAGTCTGAACGTTTTTCTGATTTAAGGTTAAGATATATTCAGAGCCATCTTACTGCTCTTCTAATGACATAATTTATGGAGAGCAGAAGGGGGCAAGAAAGGGATGTTGGGGGTGCAAGGATCAATTTAATGTACAAAAAATGATTTTGGAAGAGGCTAAAACATGTCACTGCAATCTCTCTATGTGCTGGACTGCTTACAAGAAAGCATGCGACTCTGACCCTCACGTATGGATTCCGAAGTCTCTGCGTTGTATTGACCTCCCTGGGCGACTACTAGTACTTGATTTGCTCGTTTAAAGAAAATCTGGAGCTCAGACCTAAATGCTCAAAACAAGGTCACCAATACTTTTGCTGTGCCAGTCCTTTCCTACTTCTTTGGAATAGTTGATTGGACAAAACAAGACATCCAGAGTCTTGACCGCCTGACCAGAAGGATAATGCCTGATAACAGAGCCCACCACCCTCGTTCCTCTCTTAATCATTTATATATGCCAATCAATTCTGGAGGTCGGGGATTGATTAATGTGGAGGCTCTTCATGATAGAATTCTTTTGTGTACTTTTGCACATATATTTGTCAGATGATCCTCTGGTGATGCATGTCAAGACTCATGATGAAAGCAAGGAATTCCACAGCTATTTTAAGCGTGCCAAGGCTGTTTGACAGAATCTGAAATTTGAGGTTGAATTTGTGAATGGCAATGTACTGCTAGACCGTACAGAAATGGGAGTAAACCAGGTGAAGTCATTCACCAAGTCTGCTCCTTCGCCTGGATGAAGTCGGTTGGTATTAAATGTGAAACCGAGGGCTTTCTTCCACGGAAAGCGAGGTGGGGGTCGAAGTCACAATACTGCGCGATAAATTTCTTGCTACATTCACATGATTAACGTCCACTCACCAGTATGTAGATACTAGTCAATGTGCGTCTTTATATTTGGTCTTATAATCCTAATTAGTTATTATCATACTTGTATGCATTTTGAAACTAAATAAAAAGCAGACAATCTGCTGATACTTATAGTGAATTTATAACAGAACTGAAATATATAGACATTTTATAGTTTGCCAATGTGAATCATAATTCGCACACACACCCTAGTGTATGTTGTCTGTCTCATTACACTTCACGGCGAAAACAATGATTCTGTTGAATGCTACGACAAATGAAAAACAAAATGCAAATATTATAATTAAAACAGATTAAAGTTATAGGAACAATGTCAGGCTATTACCTTGTTCGAGGAATGTATCCATCAATATCCACAAAAACGAGTGATATGTCATTCATCTGCAGCTGTTCCAAGTGATGTGTCTTTTAACAGTTTAATATACGAAAAAGTGATAAATCTTTTCAGGTATTTCATATTGGTGTATAGTCTCATCGGTCACCCAAGATAGCACACCTGGCAACTAATTGCATAATGTCCGCCTTTCTTTAAAAACAGTAATTTAGTTAGCCAATAATGGGCAATCAATCAATGTATTGCCAGTTAATCCTTTGAAAGAAGGACGTTGTTTTTACGCAGACACCGACACGACAGAGTGTATTCAGTATAGATTAGTAAATCTACATACATAAACACTTACTACCTTTTGACAAATCCGCTGTGTAAGATTAAAGTAATTAATCAATCAGCGTGTTATCGGTTAATCCTTTGATCGATGTTTATAATGTTGAATATTTACTCCAGACACAAGAAATGCCAAATGGGAACCTTTGTCGGGTAATCTAAGTGTGTTACTACTAACTATACCTGTTATAAATTCATTAACTGGCCATCAAGTGAATGATGACAAATAACATGTAAAGGTTTACACCACCTAACACGGGTTACAACAAGGGAGTATTAATTGCTGTATTGCATGTGAAAACTTATGGGCCGACACTGTTTTGAGAATACAAACAGATTTTTACATGACATGATTAAATATCGAGGCAAAACAACACAGAAATAGGATCAATTTGGATCAGTCATTATACAAATAAGGCCTAAGGACACCAAGCGATTTTGACAGAATCGTCTATGAAAACAAGTTGTAACTCGGAAACTAGGCAAAGCAGGAGACAAAATTAAATGACAGTAGATTGTGAGAACATATAGCTTTCATTTTCCACAACAGTTGTCACGATTTCAGGTTTATACAAACCTGTAAACAAGATAATTTACCCCCTGAAATGTAGATGAATTCTGCATCGGCCCTCATATCTATTCCTCATATGACGTCACAGAGACGCCCCGCTCTGATTGGTTGAAATTTCGTTCGCGGGTGAGAATTGTGCACTGTTGTCAAAAAGGTCGATTTAAGTTAATTAAAGACCGAAGTGAGTAGTTTTAATGACGGGGTTTCATTTATAGCGATGCCAGTTAGTGATTTATGTATTTGTACCCCACTAGAGTATATGTGATCTTTAAACAAAATATGAACATGAAATGTCGACTTTGCAATGAATTTACAGAGACTGTCCAACACCTTGTCAGATGATGCCGTTCTTGGCACAAACAGCATATCTTAAACATGATGACATGGCTCGTTGCTTTTACTACCGTTTCCGCCATGCCTGTGGCTTTGACTCTGAGGTCCATCCATGGTACGACACTGATCATGTCCAGGGCGTCATTGAAAATGATGCCTTCAAACGTCTGTGGAATAGGCCCATATACAACCTCAGAAGAATTCCTGTCAACAAACCTGATCTTGTCCTCTTTGATAAAGCTAATGAATTTATTTACATCATTGAATTTTCTGTCCCTTTTGACAGCAGCGTGATTGGCAAGATTCAGGAAAAGCATGCAAAATATGCAGACCTCGCCTTTGAAATGTCTCGCTTTCATTTTAAGTACACTGTCGTCAAACTCCCCATTGTTCTCGGTGCCCTTGGTTTGGTACCTCCTGATCAAGGTGCAAATCAGGAGAGTGCCCGAGCAGAGCCCTATCTGGGTAATGCAAAAGTCTGCAGTGTTGGGGAGTCTACATATTCTCAGGAAAGTTCTTGGTGGGTTCGTCTAGGCAGCGTTTCCTGGGAGACGTCCCATTCGCTGTCTTGGCTGCGTGTAGAGCAGGCAAAGGCCCAGAGCTGATGATGAGCCTTACCAGCCTGACTGTGCCAGGATCACCCGAACCCTCTCTGCTGCATTTTCATCTTAATCTGTAACACATGATAATAATTAACAACATGTCACCAGTAATATCACCCTGTCTTGTCCTCTATGCAACACATTAATAACACAAGATCTCTACTTTTGTACCACGAGGATTGGACATGTGATAAAATGGATCTCCGATAACCTGCCATCCGGGGCGCTGCAATTAGCTGTGGAGATTCCCCTGGATAAGTATGAAACAAATGATGCAGATTCGATTCCCAGTTCGGCGCCGGCTCTTTGTTTTTAGGTTTGCCAGGGCCATCGTGGGTTTCACAAAAAAGGTAGATATGTGAGACATGCATCATTTCGGGCAAACATTTAAAACGAAGGTGGCATGCCGTGATATATATTGAACACTGTTCAAAGCGGCATGAAACCAAACTCACTCACTCACTCTCTCACATAAAAATACAAGCTGATTGGTACGGTACGCAGTTGGCAAAGTAATTGAACCACACCAATGTAACATTACTGCCGGAATATTTATTTGTGACCTTGCTTTCGTTTCCAGACAGCGAGCGCTCTCGTTTAGGCAATATAACAATGCATTCCCTCACAAATCCATGACACTGGATCAATCTTTACTCCATTCATGACAGAGCATATTGATCAAATGATCGCGGAACGTTTTCAAAATCCTTACATACAATATATTGATCAAGCGGAACAAAACCAAAAACTGATCCAGTTATCTGACACTCGAAGCACACGTATTCCCATGTACCTGAACACCGGAGAGAAAGACGTATGAACATGTTATATAAAGAGTCGTTTCGCGAAGACTCATAGCCCCACCTCGACACTAATTGCTTATCTCTCCCATATCTTGATTCCAAACGTAAAAATGCTGAACAGTGCGCTTCAGGTATTATCTTAGGTTAAATATCTTAATTTGGCAATAACCGAAATAAGGACACAAAATATGTTTGTCAAATTTGTAAATATATTTCCGGTCTTTCTAACATACATTTGTACCCGAGTTGATCCACTGCAAGTATTGGAACCACTGTCTATTCAAAACTAACTGAACAGCTTCAGTCTCCATCTTTGCTTTGCTTTGAACGCAACGGGATATGCGTGTGTCTTTCTACATATAATACGTAAGGCAAATTGATCTCCTGATACATATGCTTGTGGATATCACTTGCCGTCAAACAAACATGTGAATAAAAACCAAGGCAATCACATAGCCCCGACAACTGAATAGTGTCCTACTCAACTTTTTCGCATTTAGATCTATTCAGAAAGATTCAGAATGAATGTCAAACAGGATGATTTCAACTTTCCTTTGTCAAGCACATGCAGCCTTTGTTGTTTCACGTCATTTGAGGTACAGTCTAGCACACTCTTTTACCAAAGGGACGGTGGATTAGTCTTGTGGTTAAAGCATTCGTTCGTCCCACTGAAGACCCGGGTTCGAGTCCCGCACCGTGGTATTGCTGGAATTTGCATGAAACTATATCCGCTTACTCACCCTTTTCACCAAGTTTTCAAAGAGCTTCATACGGCTCAGAAGTTGTTCAATGCGGGTTACAACACTAAGGGCCTCAGCGGAGTTTTCAACAGGTTTTATATGTGTGACACTTTGATGCCATAATGGCAAAAATGATGTCCGATGCAATTCTGACTTTTCGAATTTCTTCAGGCGAACAGCTGACGAGCCTTTGCATGTGTTTATGACGGGTGCCACCTGAATCGCAGGATACGCTCACCTTTTCGCGAAAACCTGGTATCATTACTATAACTATTTGACAGTGATTCATAAACGCAAGCTCTGGCATCGTATCTCATGGCGTCAATCACTGGATTGTCTGATCCAGACTCGCCAAAGGTCTGGGTTCGAATCCCCACATGGGCTCAGTGTATGAAGACAATTCCTGCGAACATCGTGCACAGCATGAACCATAATCTTGTGGTATATTATCTACACATTGCTGGAGTGTCAGGCAATGGCGGGGTAAGCACAAAGGTGCTGCACGGAATATGATTCATATCACCCCAGCAACACATGCATATCGGCCAAATGTATTCCAGGGTGATGATGCATTCAAATCTAAAATAAGATATATCTGCCTTCGAGGATAATCCAGTACACAATACATGTATAACCAGGTTGCCTAGGCGGCCCTTTATAACTCAGTAAACTCGGGTCTGATTGTCACAATCACTGTTAAGATGATTGCGTGTCATGTTTCACTCGCTGATTACGTGTTCTCGACCGTTTCATGTATGTGAAAAAAAGTAACAAAATTATTTCCACTATCAGAGTCATAGCGCCTGGGGTCGATCCTTTATTATCGTCTTCGATATCTTTGTGCTTTTGACAGAGGTCTTTCCACGTTACTGCTCAGAATACCTAGAGGCGTTAAGGAAATTGATGATTTATCATTATGATATGTTATACGGATTCATCCGGTTTGAACGTCGGCTTATCGATTCATACCTCAATAACTGACAACAACACTTCAATCTTTAAATATATCTAGCGTTGTATTAAAGTAGGAATATAATCTATTTTTCGTGTTACATGCCAACGCTCTAACGGCTTTTCAGCTTCAGTTATAATCCGTGTTTGTCGAAAATCAACTGATGGTTGTCATGTTAGGGGGGATGTTAAACAGCAAATGGTAATATCTGAAACTGTAAAACGTTTGATTTGCATACCCTAAAAACAAATCATTTTTTGATCGATAAAGAACAAAGAACTTGTACGCTACGATACCATCAGCTATTGCCAACGAAACTGACTATATTAATTGGCTGAAAGGTCAAAGAAAAACGATACAAATGTTGTAAAACAAAGCCCACATTATTTAAGTTTATATCAATTATATACTATCTACGAAATTAAAGCCATCTTGTTGTCAATGTTGTATTGGAAAACATTATACATTGCTCATGCAGCGCCATCTGTGGTTTATGGAGACATAGAATGCACGGGAGTTCTCAAGCTGAGGTCTAACCAACCGTCGAAGCTGATTGTGTTAGGTTCAGCTCAGGTTCAGTAACTTGCACCGGTTAATATATACTAATCAATAAGTCATAACAATAAAACTTCACCAACTAAACTTCTCAAGATTTTCGAAAACATATATTGACTCATTTGGACGTAACAACGCAAGTTAACATCAATAATCAGTCTCCATGACATCACTGTAGACATATTGATACTACCATAGTTACAGTACATACATGCATTGCGTAAAGCTTTCCTTGGTCATGGTCAAAGTTTAAAAATCAAACGGGGAGGCCAGCGTTAGGTCTCTTTCAACTTCATTTGTGACTGGCCATGCCAGGTTTCCAGACAATTATTTGACAACGTGAATGAACTAAGACAAGGTTTTGTAACATGATTGCAACTTTACTTATGTTTGGTCAGAAATGCGTTATGATTCTGGATTCTCACTATTCAAGTATGGATTCACGTTTGTGTCAAGTTCATAGTTGCGATAAGTACATGATATCTATCACTATATACCAGGATTTCAAAGAGCTTTATACGGCTCTTGCTCAGTTGTTCGATGCAGGTTACAACATCCAAGGGCTCAGTAACGCTTTCAAAAGATTTCATGGTTTTTGTGTAGGACATTTCAAAATTTGATGCAGTAGTGACATGAATGATGCCCGATGCAAGTCTGACCTTCCGAATTTCTTCAGTTGAACAGCTGACTAGCCTTTCATACGTTTATGGGGGCATTGGGGTATCCTAGTGGTTAAAGCGTTCGCTCGTCACGCCGTCGAAGACCCGGGTTCAATTCCTCACATGGATGCAAAGTGTGAAGCCTATTTCTGGTGTCCCCCGTTGCAGGAATATTGCTAAAAGCGGCGTAAATCCATACTCACTCACTCCATACGTTTATGACGGTGCCACGGTCACTGTTTCGCGAAAAGCGGTATCATCCCTATATGATAGTGATATATAAAGGCTTGTATATATGCTACCATCACAATTCTTTGTGGCTGGAAGAATTCGGTTTAATATTTGTCTTGTTGTATTCTACACAATACTTTGTACAGTTGATATTTTGTATAGTTCGTATTCTTGGGTTTTTCTGAGATATTAAGACGAATAAAGTCTCCAAACCTGCATAATTGTCACCTTGCAGCTTCTGAAAAATATCATGATGTGTTTCCAACACTGCTCCCGTCAATCCGGTTTGTTTGAAACACAACGATGTGTTCGGACATCTCATATCACGAAAAATGGCCCATACATTGGCTCTCGTGGGCTATAATTTCCAGAGTTTTGTGGTATTAATCGAGAGGAATTTCTTTAGAGAATGGCAATTTTGGGACCATTCCTGCTTTTCAAAGCTTTTTTTCCAGCTACTTACTGTTTGTTTTTCAGTTGTTCGCATGTTATTGAATGAAAATTTCATAATTCAGACTAGGTAAATGTTAATAGCTGTAGTTCAGTTCATCGGTAGTAAAATTAGATGTTTACATAACCAAACATCTATTTAAACTGAAATATTTCCTCCCCAGAATCATCCTTGCTCAGATGCACCCTGTGGACCTGACGAAATGTGTGTCCCTGTTAGCAGCAGTTCGGACTATGTATGCGCACTCGTCAAGGGACACACAAGCAACAGTGCTACACCTACTGAAACAACTACTGCGGTACCGGATACAACAGGGGCACTGACTACATCGCCCTCACCATCAACGCCATCTCCGACTACGACGGCTTCACCAACGACGGCACAAGTACCAACTACTACAACACCAGCTACGACTACAACACCTTCACCAGCGACAACACCAGCACTAACTACAACAACACCTTCGCCAACGACGACAACTACACATATTACTACAACACCTTCACCAACGACGACACCAGCACCAACTACTACAACACCTTCACCAACAACGACACCAGCACCAACCACAACACCTTCACCAACAACGACACCAGCACCAACTACTACCACACCTTTACCAACAACGACACCAGCACCAACCACCACAACAGCTTCACCAACGACGACACCAGCGCCAACTACAACAACACCTTCGCCAACGACGACTACACTTTTTACTACAACACCTTCACCAACGACGACACCAGCACCAACTACAACAACACCAGCTCCGACTACAACACCTTCACCAACGACTACAACAACACCCACAACCACAACACCTGTTCCAACTACCACTACACCTACAACTACTACACGTAAGCATACCGAAGTAAATCCTTGAAAAAGCTTTAATAGGCAATGAGGTCATAAGATGCTCTGGGCAGTTGTTCTGTATATCGGGGATACCAAACAACTCCGTGGGAGTCCGGGGCTGAATGATTCCTCTAGTTTATACCAGTCAAGGATCGGCACGGTATGACGTGTTAGGGGTTGCCAAATGGGATAAACGTTTACCAAAACATTGGTTTGATCCTCGGCAGGTTTTAGTACACTGTTTAAGCCCGGTGTTGTTTGTTCTTCATGTTATTTGGGCTGAAAGTAGCGGAACGTGCTTCACTCGTTATTAATTATTACTTATATTACTTATTCTGTGCCTCTATAATAATAATGATGATGATGATTACGATCACGCAATGCATGGGAAAATAACTGGGTCGTTTGTCTGTTACGTCTCACCAGATTGACTGAAAAGTGTTATCAAAAAGTGCAAATCTAATACAGCTTCAGGGCCTGATGGCATTCGAAACCGGTACTGGAAACTGTTCCTCTGTGTCCAAACACCATTACTTCACTGTTTCAATTCTCTTGTGGACACATGCGATGTTCCTCCATGGTTCTGCAATACTCTTTCACAACAAATGAGACTTGACTGATCTAAAAAACTTCCGGCCAACCACAAGTTTGAATACTCAATATAAATATTCACAGGGTGTTTGACAAACCATCTTACTGCCCTTCTTATGACATAATTTATAGACAACAGAAGGGAGCAAGAAAGGAATTTTGGGGGTGCAAGGATCACCTTTTTGCACAAAAGTTGGGTTCGACTAGGCAGCGTTCCCTGGGAGAAGTCCCATTCTGGGCTGCTGTCTGTGCTGCGTTTAGAAGGGGCAAGGGCCCTGAGCTGATGATGAGCCTTACCATCCTGACTGTGCCAGCATCACCCAAACCCTCTCCGCTGCATTTTCATCTTAATCTGTAAAACATAAATGGCACTTAGTTCCTCATCATAGCACTACACTGCATACACTGCAGTAGAGAGGCATTTTCCTGGTAATTTAATCTCTAAAGAACGTTTCGAAGAGACATGTCTTCAGGCAGCTTTTATAGATTGTTAATGTTTGGGCTTTCTTTAATCCCAAGGGAATATCGTCCAATGGTGTCGGGGCCATGTAAGCCAATGATCTCTGTCCATACTTTTTGAGGCGGTTTATTGGTACTTTAAGAAGTAACTGATCAGCAGATCTTAGTGTTTACCTTGACTGGACGATACTAAGACAACCATTCTTAAGCATTTACTTTTCATTTCCCAAATGTTTTACACGATTTGGTTGTCCTATCTTCAGAATAGAGACAGTATATGTGTATCTCAAGTTCCTAAAACTTGATCCCATTCCGTCTGGGGAAATGTGTCACAAAAAGTCTTCTTTCGCTTTTGTTACATGTCAATGGTCATTGTTCGATATAGGGAAGTACGGCGGTTACAACAGGTTAACACATCCTTAGCTTAATGTCTGTTCTTTTCACTCAGATGATGGAACGTGCGTGACAGACAATGACTGCAGTTCTCTCCCCTTCACCAAGTGTTCCCAAAACCTTTGCGTGTGTACCGTGGGCAGCGATATGGATAATACCACTGGCGTATGTCGATCATTAACAGGTATGTTAGTTGGATGATTGGTTGTTTAACGCCACACGCAGCAATATACCAGCAATTTGGCGGCGGGATGTAAATAATCGAGTCTGGACCAGACAGTACAGTTATAAATAGCATGAGCATCGATCTACGCAAGCGCCAACCACGTCAGCGAGTCTGACCACCCAACCCGTTAGTCGTCTCTTACGACAAGCATGGGTTGCTGAAGACCAGTTCTAACCCGGATGTTCAGGGGCCTTTGATACATGTAGTGAGACAACCCGACCAACATCAATACCGCTTTGGTAGTACATACATGGTACATGCAATAACATGATACATATGGATATTACTTTGATATACAGGAGGCTACATGACAATGGTGCAGACGAAAGCTTATTTCTCACATTTGACTAAAGTTCGTCCTAACATTAACGACAACATTAACAAACTTAAACACGTCAAAGGAGACCAACCGGAAGAGCATTTGATGAGATCTGAGGTTCTCATCAATTGTTTCTGCCTGTGAAGATCATGGTTAGACTTGGTCTTAAGATTGCAAGGAATGCTCTGTTCTGACACCCATTTGCATGGAAAGAGCATAGTAGAAAGAAATAGGAAATTAAACATAGATACAATACAGGAATGTGATGTGTTTAAACGAAACTGTCAAGTTTCTGTGCAGGGCGACGTCATGACTGACGCAAAATCACGCAGAACGACAACGGTAATAATCTGCATTTCTGGCTTCTTCCCTTTCTTAAAATGAAAACGATAAAAACATGTAACAATACACAGATAGTCAGAATCATTCTGATTACTTACATCTCACATTTATGTACAAACGACCCCTGAATCAAGGGATGGGTCCTCGCAAAACCCATGTCATCCGCCATATTTTTTATGAAATCTCAACGGTAGTGATTTCATACGTCAACATTGTTGTACATATTTGGCAATTTCTCTGAGGTGAAGGTCGGTAGAATAAAGCAGCCTTCACATGGCAAACTAAAGTTTGACAACACGTGTTGTCAAACTCGAGTTTGAGAGTGTGAACATTCCAACAACTCGCCACCAACACCAATTTCAGAGTTGTCAAACTGATGTCGAGAAATAGGATTGGTCTCTATTCTCACCAACTTTTCCATCAAACTTTGGATGTTGACAAACTCGAGTTTGACGTGTGAACTGAACAACCAATCGCAGTCAACGAAATTGTCACGTGACCGCACCGATACAGACATGACGCTCAAATGACACGAAAGTTTGACAACATGTGTTTGGCGTGTGAATACGCGAGTTTAAAATTCAACAACATGTGTTGTCAAACTTTAGTTTGCCGTGTGAAGGTCGCTTAAGGGTAAACACAATCACCATATCCCGCCGATTACACTTTCAGTATCATAATGTAATCGTTCGGTTATTTTTTCATGAAACTAATTTAATTATCTACATTAAGCCTTGTTCAATATCATATCATACGTGGGAATAGGGTGTACGTGTTTTATTCTTTGAAAGTGTTTGTAAAGCATATATAAACATTTACACAAGTGTTAACAGATGAAACGTAGGCATCATGTACTTGTACAATATGTATTTAAGTTCCTGTGATGTGCAGAGTTACAGTTTGGTATGTAACTCTTCGTCAGAATAATTTCCAATATCGAAGTCCAGTCCACGATACAACCTATCCTTTCTTTGCTGAACTGGCATCATGAAAGCAGCGTTAGCCATGAACGCCATTTAATTTGCGAGATAACCACACTGTTAACAAGTTAGCGGCGGTCCTTCGGTGTGTTTTGAACAACCATTAACCCTCTGTTATTAGTTAACAGTCGGTTAAATGTACTTAACGGCTGGTTAAAAGATAACCGAGTTTTGAACAACCGGGCCCAGCAGTTTATTCTTTAAGGTTTTTAAAATCAAATGATATTTTTTAAAAAGCCTTTGAAGTAATATTGGGTGCTGACTAGATACGAATACAGTTCATGTATTAAGATATTTTTAATTGAAAATCAAACATGTGATAAAATCAACAGATTCATAAATATTTGACTCCACAGATAATTGGTCATAGTCAAATGAAAGAATCAGGCGTTCTCTAGTTCTTTTGAGCAGTATAATGTCACTTAATGTTTTGTCTGATCACCGCTTTTCGCGCCATGGGTGAATTTGGATGAAAGCATTTCATTTCTTTCATGTGTTATTTGAAGTATATGTTTCATGAAGATGCACGGTGTTCAGCTATTTCATTTTGCAGTTTGAATTAACACAGTTAAAATATAGTCGATGCCATTTTAAATTTAACTCATTCACTCATTTCTTGTAATTGTAGAGTGTTCCTCCGTCGCATCCGTCTTCTCCAGCTTCAAGGACAAGGCCATCACAGGCGCTAACACTCAGAGCATTTCGAGCAAGACGCCTGCAGAGTGCGCACAATTGTGTATAAACGCCTCGTTCGTATGTAAATCGTTTGAAATGTTTTTCAGCACCTGTCTATTGCAGACTGTCAGCTGGTATGACGTTCCAGAAGGTGAACGTGGGTATAAGAAAGGTGTCGACCATTACCAGCGTAGATGTAATTGGTGAACTTTGATGCACTGTCCGGTGTCATTCTGTGCTACTGTTGGAACAGTGCCGGTGCACATCAGATTCTCTGTATATGGGTACATTGTTGTCATTGAAAACGCGGCAATGCACTCTTTCAGGCCTCGAACAAATGCCTGTCTATGTTTTTACAGGCACAAGGATGATACGAAAAATTGAAGTGGTAAAGAAATGAAATAAGTCTAAACTGATATTTGACATCTCAGGACACAATTTAATTGGTGTCGCCACAATTAATCACAACATGAAACATATATGAAATATATCAAACATTGCACAAAAGATTACAAAGTACAAATATATATTCTGCAATATGTACAATTCAATTGGATACTCTAAGTAGTACAACATATTAATGTCTCCAGGCTTGTCTTCAGGTTGGACAGTTCTCTCTGGAGGACTTGATACTTCTTTTTCTTTGGGGGCAATCTGTCTGGGGGTTCCATCGGAGTTCAGCCTCAACCCAGTTTGTGGTCATGTAATCTGCGATCTGCAGACATCTGTTGTCCTGAGACATGTCTGCTAGGAGTTCGAGCAAGACATCTTCCACCTACAATGCAAAAACACAAAAGCTCCATAATGTTACCTGGTAGCACTTAGAAATGAAATGGTTTGGTTTCTATAGTATGATAATACATTATATACTACCCATCAAATGTTTAGACTCACTTACAGCACTAACTATATGTTATGTATATATATGAGGTTACATCGAAGATTAATTTCTCCACTAACTTGGGGGAACCAACTGCAAACCTTATGCAGATGAATTGCACGAGGATCAACCATCAAATTGCTAAAAAGCATGTGCAAATATCGTGCATGTAAACACCTGTTAAGAAGTCTTGTTAAGAATTCACCAATTTCCAGAGTTTCATCATTTATTGAACTCATGACACTAATCTTTTCAACGTTACGAATTTGTTTTACAATACATCAGTTCACGTGTAAACAGTATCTTTAAACAGTATGAAATATTTTGCAAGATCTAGTTTAGAACAGTTGACAGAAGAAAGTGGCTACATTTACACTAGTAAGTCTAAACCTTTGATGGGTAGTACATAATTACACTTTTAAGAAACAGTAATAAAATGGTTTGGTTCTTATGGTATGATATAATGTAATATATAATATCTGACTATATAACATTGTTATAAAACAGTAAATGTACTTACATTTGCCACTGGAACTAAAGGCAGACCAGCACACCCACAAAGGAAGATCATTTGCAGGCGGCATCGGGAGAATCGAACTGTCGTAACTGTGCATGAGCCATTGCAAAAATGATACTAGCTTTTGTAAATTAATGTTGTTTGTACAATATGAAAGATATGTAAGTGTACTGTATGGCACTGATTAGTTGAACAAATTAATCACTTTCACTCACATTGATTGAGTGAAGACATTAATCAGTATCATTATTATCTCAGTGAGCTAAACTCAGTAAATGAACTCAGTAAATTTAAATCATATGTCACCACATAGTTGAGAATTTTACAGCACCCAGTGACTTAATCCCTTATAACAACACCGACACAACATTAAGGAGATTATACTGTAATAACAATATTCTACTCCACGGGAATACCCCTCTCCAATCACCCCCAGCGTCTGTTCTTGTGTGTGCTGTAAGCTTTTTATTCAGTGCTTCATTCAGTTTGAAAAGCACATGGCCTGAACTCTGAAAAGAGTCCGACAGAAATTCGTACCAAATTTACATTAAATGATAGAAACATGGATTAAATTGTACTGCAAAACATTATTAAACATATTGAGTGTGTACTTACACCATGGGGAACTAGAGTATGGCATGCAATGCCTAAGAACCAAATTACTGTCATGAAAAAATATCGCGTGTGCGTTCGAAGACAAAACTGAAACCTAAAACCAGCTGCTTCCGGTGTGATGCGACACAGAAGATCGCGCAGTGCATACCGCTAAAATAAATTGCGCAAAACATACCGCTATAACATAAGTGAGTGAATGAGTTTAGTTTTACGCCGCACTTAGCAATATTCCAGCTATATGGCGGTGGTCTGAAAACAACCGAGTCTGGACCAGACAATCCAGTGATCAACAGCATGAGCATTGATCCACGCAATTGGGAACCAATGACCTGTGTCAACCAAGCCAGCGAGCCTGACCACCCGATCCGGTTAGTCACCTCTTACACAAGCATGGGCTACCGAAGACCAATCCTAACCCTAACATGGGTTCGCTAAAATATACAATACAAACCTGTCACATGTGACAGAACATTGTGCATGGTAAGACGTCATTGTCAGTGATAGGATGTGCACTGTAAAAGCAATTTTTAACTTTGCCTGTAAACAGGTACCCAAAGTATGTTTTGGTTCTTAATTGGCGTGAGGCGGTGGGGTAGCCTTGTGGTTAAAGCGTTCGCTCGTCACGCCAGACCCGGGTTCGATTTCCAACATGGGTACAGTGTGTTAAGTCCATTTCTGGTGTCCCACGCCGTGATATAGCTGGAATATTGCTAAAAACAGCGTAAAACTAAACTCACTCACTCACTCTGAATTGATGTAAGTTACACTACGGTTATAACGAACTCAAGGGGATCACAAATTTAGTTCGTTATACCCGTAGTTCGTTATAACCATAGTTCGTTATACCCGTAGTTCGTTATAACCGTAGTTCGTTATGACCGTAGTTTGTTATGACCGTAGTTCGTTATAACCGTTGTTCGTTATAACGGTTGTTCGTTACACGCCTTTCTAAAAACTACGAAATGAGGCCGGGACCCACCAATTCGTTATTATATCCGTCAGTTTATTATAAGAGTGTTCGTTAAAACGTGGTTTCATGTATGTCTCTATTCATGTTTTAAGTTCATAATGTCCAGTTAACCACCTTTTCGATGTTGTGTTTTTGTGTTTAGTGTATGACTATAACCAAGGGCAAGAGTGATATAAGAGTCAACCAATGATCCCGGATTTGAATTTCAAACAGGCAATGGTTTACTGCCTCACTGTGACACTGTGGGACGAACGAACGTAGTCACTATATTTTCTTGAATGTCGATTCACATTCTGACTCAATACTTACATGTATCGTCTTATAGTTTACTTTACTTTTTTTGGTCAATTCATGCGACCTGTACGCATAATGTGGACTCTCTGTGTTTCCATTTAAAGTAGATGTCAAATAGCTGATATCGTCAGGGCAGGGGCAGATCCAGAGAGGGGGTGCGGGGGTGCGCAACCCCCCTCTCCCCCGATACAATTTTCCCTGAGGAGCAGACTTCATAATTTATGTGCACGCCCAACGCCCCACCCCTCACCCTTTCTCACAAATCCTGGATTCGCCCCTGCAATGGATTGTAGTTATACATTGTTGCAATTACTGATTGAATTTTGCGTCAAGCTGCTAATATTTGGCTATGGCTGAACGTACACTGTCACTTTTTACTTTTCAATATGTACAAACTGCTTATATCCATTTCTTAACAAACACCTTGTTCTTACTTCATCACTGGCAAAACCTACCATTGTGCTAATACAAGGCTATGTGAATTATCTGTTTGTTTGTCATCTTCAGTCTCAACCAGCAAGTAAAAGGATGGGCGATAAAAATGTAGTTTTAATTTTTAGAATTTCATATTACATATACTCATGCCAATACTGGTTGTCACCCCCAATCACTTTTTTATTGGAGAGGGGGTGTGGGGTGTGGGTGTGGGTGTGTGTGTGGGGGGTTTGGGGAGGGGTGTGACAACCATTATTGGCATGAGTATATTTACACAATCTTTCTAAATAATTGTGTAAATATGTTTTATGAAATTTAAAAAATTAAATTACTTGTTTATTGATGTAAGGTGCAGACCGAGTGGCTTTGCTTAAGAAACATTTTAATATGTAAATATAAAATGACGATGACCTGTTTTAATCAGTTTGCAATCGTAAATGTATTTTTTATCATACCAGGGTATATATTTCCATAGCTGCGGGGAAAATGGATATGAGAATACGTCTTTCACGTTGGAATGAAATTTCAAAGCTGACGGGGACGGGAACCTAGGAAAATATAAGGACAACTAAAACAAATATGCCAACTGTTGTTTTGTTACGTTTCGAAATGAGACCTGTAGAGATCCGGGTTAGACTTGGTCTTCATGTAACCCATGCTTGTCGTAAAAGGCGACTAACGGGATCAGGTGATCAGGCTCGCTGAATTTGTTGACACATGTCATCGTATCCCAATTGCGTAGATCGATGCTCATGCTGTTTGTCTGGTTCAGATTTATTTACAGACAGCCGTCATACAGATGCAATATGGGTTTATTTGTTTAATACTGACTAACGTTTCTAAAAGTGAATGCTGAGGAAAGCAAACTATACACCTGTTTTTTATGGCGGCTAAAGGTGAAAAAAGAAAGGATGTTTATTCAATGGTGATGTTTTTGATAGGATAGTCAACGTTGTGTTTTTTACCTACTTTTTCAGTGTTTCTGCAAATACTTTCATTCCAGGAGCATTTCTAATTTTTCTTTCATTTTGATTGAATTTAGATTTCAAGTGTATACGTTAATTGCCCGTCAGTTGAAAATAGTTTTCGGACATCAGGGCTCCGAAATTAATTCACTTGGAGGAGATATTTTCCGATCGTCATTTTTGAGAAAACCTTTAAGTAGATTTGGTTTCCCAATTCTAAATGGAAACATCAACTCTGTTAATCACTTGTTGGAAACGATACAAATAAAATTATTTTTAATCATTTACGACAATGTGTTCATGTGTTGCTATGATCAAAACAAGTATCTGTTGTCTTCGTACAGAACACAATGGAACAATTCTTACTTGGCTCTGTGATGATTACTGATCACTATGTAGTTTATATCCGTGCTCTCACGGCAATGATTAAAGCACCAACGAGTTTTGTATGGAATAACCTTGTCAAAGAAGGAATTATGGATTGTCTATTCTGAATCAGTGGATGGTGTTAATCCCGAACTATGAGCATTGTACTTTCAGTATTCAGTCACGAGGGACGAAAATGAGTAATTTCGAGTTTCGAGCCTGTTATTTTACTCATTAATCTCTGACATTTTAACAGAAAAAAACCCAGTGAAATGTCAGTCCTTCGGAGAAACTTCTTCAAAGACAACCTATTGTTCAGGTGATGCAATGTAAGTTGGTGACGTAATGAACACTAGGCCAATCGTATTCCATATGGCTTCAACTGACCCACCAGCATTGAGAACTCTAAAAATGCGCAAGTGCATCAACGTAAGTATGGGCGGTAATTCTCCCTGATTATGAAACTGTGTCTGTCAGCATAGAACTCACTTTCTTGAGTGTCACAAATGGCGTGAAGGATCTACGTGCCAGGTGGCTCAGGAATGTGACGATCTTTAGAGTATATCAGAAACCTGGTCGTCCAGTGCCCTGTACAGGTATATTCGGTTCTATCACGAAGTATCACCACGGTGATCGGGTCATGTTTCCATGGCAGTTGATGCCTATAGAGAGGATCTCGGTGTGGTCCGCCGCTGTATTTCATCGATATCGTGACGAGAATAAGTTAAACTTCTGAGGCCTACATTGATATCGTCACTAAAACAAGTTATACCTCTGAAGATTTCAACGACATCGTGACTAACACAAGTTATACCTCCGAAGATTTCAACGATATCGTGGCTAAAACAAGTTATTCCTCTGCAGATTTCAACGA